GGCGGTAGACCGCCGGTAACCGGCTTTTATTGAAACCCCTGCTATAGATTGCTTACGCAATTTCCAGGTTAAAAACGATGCTAATTAAGATCATATATCCAATGGCAGTCACGGTCATAAGTTTCTTTGTTTAGCTTCATATTAGTGACTTTGAGAAAGTAGATTGATGCCCGGGAGAAGGGGTACTGCCTTCAATAGCCTAATCCTTCGATAATGCGATAGGATCATACTTTCAGCTTTGACTGTACTCGGAACAACAAAGAAGTTCGCTTTACTGGAAAAACGAGTTTTTATTTTACATAAGGTAAAGTCTGCGTACGAGCCAAGTGGCCGACCAGGACAGACCTTATCCTGATTTCTGTAGCATGAGGCGACAAGAAGTCAGTTCTGCTCCCCCCTGAATGGGATTCTAGTCTATTGCAGGGTTAGCCCCAGCATTAAATTTGGTTGTACACCTGGGTGGAGAGTGACACTCTGAAAGTAAAGTGTCTTACCCAAGAACACAGCACAATGTCCCCTGCCAGGGCTCGAACCCGGACCGCTCGATCCAGATAGGAGCAAACTAACCATAAGGCCACCGCGCCTCACTTTATTATACATGGTTACCCAAAACTGACAAAAGTTCGCTGACTATTAAATTCTATTGTTAGGTGGATACGTTTCCCTTCCAGCGGGAGCGTCTGATTCAGCTTCTTTTCTCTCGTCTCCTGTCTTCAATACCCATAATTACGAATGGAAGTGCTTACGTTTCTGGTACTTGATCCGTGTCCATGATCACATTGATGCAGGCTGGTTTAAGGCAACGTTAATAGTGATACTAGATGAAAAGACTACGAACCAGACTCGGCTGCTACTCTTTACGAATAAAGTGACACATTCAGTGCGATATATACAGATGCCTTTACCAGGGAATTTTACTAACGTACAGGTATTCCATCTCTTTCTCCTTTCATGGTCATTACCTTATTGAAAACATTTTAAAGTTATTCTCAATTGAGCCAAATTAACTTGTCGAACAAAATTTTTTTTCCATTTGAAGTTGATTTAAGTGTACGGTGTTCGGTAAGAAGTTGTTACGCAACGTGACTGGTCATTGTACATTTTGCGTAACAATGTCATCTAGCTTTGTAGGTCCGCATTGTGTACAGAAAGCCAAATAATTGATTTTTGAGACTCACAATAAAAGTTTCTAATTCAATGCTATTATAGGACTTATATGCTATTCCAAGTCAAACAGGAATATCAGTATGATTAATATTTTGCCGTGACTGTTTTAAGAAGCTCGAAATAGTTTTCTTAGCCGTGAGATGAGGTTAACATTTTTTTATGTAACACGTTCCAGATCCGTTTTGTGGGTGCGAGCAAATTTTCTTTGGGACCATCTCTCGCCATCGACGACGTTTCGTTCTCCAAACAGCCTTGCCAACAAATTCCTGTGAATCCTGGTAAAGGTAAGACTAGCTAGAAACCTCTCTCAAGAGATATACCAGAATCAAATAGCTCGCATGCAGTACGTTTCTTCATAGTCACGTCCTAATAATTATTGCTCTTTTGATTCCACATCCCCATTAGCATGTCAAGAAGCTCTCGGCATGGAAAACGGTGCAATCCTTGACGGACAAATTACTGCTTCTACGCAATGGGATGAACATCATGCTCCCTTCCAGGGCAGACTACACTTCAAAAAGTCTGGAGATAAGCAGGGATCCTGGTCAGCTGCCAGAAGTGATGCTTACCAGTGGCTGCAGATTGACCTGGTCAGTCAGTACAATGAAGTGACAGGTGTAGCAACGCAGGGAAGGAATGCTTTCAAGTATCAGTATATAACCAAGTACAGACTGCAGTACAGTAGCGATGGAGTGAACTTCCAGTACTACAGGGAAGGAGGAGAAACTGCAGATAAGGTAAAAAAGACCTACTCCACAGCCTTAACCGAGGTTCTGTTTTCTTTGCCATGTTTTGAAAGGAATATGCTTTTAAAAGGAAGGCCATTTTCATAAATATACAGACAAGGGAATTTCAGAGAAGTCATACTTGACCTGGGTGTAGTCATTAAACCCTTTCATTTTGATTAAATTTGCTTTAGAGAGGAAATAATAATAGCGATATTCCGCTGACCAGTTCTATAATTTTGTAATCGTTCCTTTCCTAAAATACTTCACATAACCACAGAAATATTATCAATCGTACTATCCTAGCAGTATGCGGCAAGTCTATCACATTCGAACCTAGTTACATTGTCCAGTTTCCATGGGTCTCCTGTAGTGGTAGAGCGTCTGATCAGTGTACTGAAGGTCATAGGTTCCACCTCCACTGGGAGAACTCAGAAATTGTTTTTCGAATTTCCTGTGTCGCTAACTGATTACATCCTTCTCATCTCCATTTTATGTGCTTAGGAATTTGATGGAAACACAGACGAGAACACTGTTGTATATCATGAACTAATTCCGGCAATCAGGACACGGTATATTCGTTTTCGACCAGTAGCATGGTATGGTGCCATATCCATGAGGGTGGAGCTGTATGGTTGTAAAGGTACTCTAGATTAGAAATAAAACCTTTGACTATATACCAAAACAGTACCGAAAGACCTCGTTTCACTTCCGAGATATTGTTTAGAGACTTTAGAGATCTTGAGCCGCTGACGAAGTTCTCGTGTCTAGAAAGACATAGATTCGCGTGTCTTTCTATCTCTTCGCGCACTTGAGAAAGGTTGCATACCGGCATCCAGGATACAAATGGTCCGTCAGCCCGCATTTTGTCGATGTTTTCCAGTTTTCCTTTTATCAGAAGATCCGTAACTACTAAGTATAAATCTACTAGCGTTCTATCACGAATTCCGTTCTCTGATTGGCTACGCTACTCGCTACCTATTCTCTTGTAGATAGTGAGTAGCCTAGCAGGTGTGGTTGTTAACAAAATGGCGGCCGCTTCTTGGCGTTTTCGAAGTACCTGTGAAGAGGATTTAGATAACGTTTTAAACGACTGGTAGAGTTATACTAAAGCAACCTTATTATCAGCCCTCAATTTCTATGCATGATAGAAATCTCGAGCTCGTAATCTCATTGTTATACATAGAAACTTAAGGATTTCCACTTCACATTTCCACATCTCCACTTTAGATGTTGGTCCTTGTGATATATCTGTGGACTGGTGTGGATGGAAAAGCGTCCACGGTTGGAAGAGAATAAAATACCAAGAGCTTGATCAGGAGTATCAGGATCATGGCGGTGCTGATGGTAGCGATAATGATGATGACGAAAATGATAAAGGTGATGCTGGTGACTCTGATGGGCGTGGTAGGTTATAGTGTGACATACAGTAGAAACCACTCATTCGAAGACGGACTCAGTATTATTAACTGGGTACCTCAAGATTTTAACACAGTACGGACGTTCGCGCTAATTGTTTCTGTACATGTTTACTGCGTACTTACCTCCTGTTGTAGTGTAACGAAACATCATCCATCTTAGATGGTGAATGACGGAAGTTTCGTGAAACATTTTAGAATAAACAGTGGCGATATGAAAATATGACGTTTCGGTGAAGACGTCACCATTATCAAATGCAAATTATTACAAGACGAAACTACAATCGAATAAAATGAGGTATGGAAAACAAAAGAATGTTCATAACTAATGTAGTTTCACACTTTATGTTTCCATATATAACGTTACCAATCTTGTAATAATTTGCATTTGATGGTGACATGTCGTCGCCCAAGCGTCGTGTTTTTACCTTGCCACCCTTCTTTTCTCTTTTTTCCTTTACTGCTTTTGTCCGTTTAGACCAGAGCTAAAAATGTTTGAACGCAAGGAGTCTCGATAAGACCGCTTAATTTTTTTGCACTTACAATCGTATTTTTCTACCAATTCGAATAAAACTGACTTTGTGAGTATTCTCCCGTTCGGTTGAATCTGAATGAAACAATGATATCAACTGGAAAACGTTGGGCCCATTTGAGTTTAAAAAATCGACACCTCCTTATTATTAAGAGATCCCCATTTCACCTAAGCTGACATACCCCATTAGCATTTTGTGAGCCCATTTGTTTCCATCGTTTTGTCTTTTTAGGAATCATTGACCGAGGTAACTATGAAATCCACCTTCCCAACGTCGACCTCGGCTACGTGTCATTCTCTGACGTCTCACCTCTTCACGTGGGTTTCACTCTCTGTTTCTGGTTGAAGACAGAATACAATGGCTTCTTCATTGAATACAAAATCGCAACTGAACAAAATGAAACATTGGTGCTGGCAGTCTATTGTCGTAACAATACTTTTGTATTTAAGCTGGAGAATACCAAAAGGTAATTACATACCGTTGTTTGGTCATTGTATTCTCCAGTCCAAGATGATGAATACAACTTACCATGATTCGCTGCACGCACGTTTCGTAGAGGGAACTGGTCATTGATTGCACTGTTTTTTAACGGTCGAAGTAAAAATGTCTCTAACTAAAACCAAATTTTTACCATTTGGATTTATTAGTTGTTATGTCATAAAAGGCCATTTATTTGTAACAACAGGTCACATGGTACAAAATCCTACATGCTATTTTGCATAAGAATGCGGCAGCCTCAAAACCATAGCGACTTCAACCAGTCAAGTAATTATATAACGGTTTCTCAAGTAAAAAATAGCGTTATAATAAAATAAAAGTTCAACTAAAATAAAGGCAAAAACACAAAATTTAGTCAAGCTTGACTTTTCCTTGTTTGTATGTCACAACTTGCCATCCAGCTTGAGGATTTTGTACCATGTGACCATTGGTTGCAAAAGGCGCACTGGCAAACGTTCATTCTGTGGGGTTTTCCTATATACCCTTACTCCTCTACTCATCATAGAACAACTTGTATTGCTACTGAAACATCATTTACGCTAACCTTGGCACGTATGTTTATCTATTTTTTATTCATCCCAGGAAAATTCCAATGGGCGTGACAGATAACACGTGGCACCACGTGTGCGTATTATGGGAAATTCGTGACGAGCAAGTGGAGGTTTTTAAAGATGGCGAAAGAACATATGTGTCAACTGGATTTCAGTCTAGCTCCCAACATATAGGAATTGAAGGTACAGTGAAAAATTATATATTAAGTTTTGACAGGAGCCATAATCGGGGACGGAGACCGTAAGCGCGCGCCATTTCTAGTATTGGGGCTGTCCCCATGATATGGGACAATTATTCTATTTTTAGAA